GAGGCTCTGAGGCCCACCCACCAAAGGGTCACCAAAGGATCACCAATTCCCATCCGTTTTTGACGGATGCCCAGTCTACAGATCTGCGTGGTTGCTCGACTTCGCCTATCTTTAGCGGACCTGCATCATGGGTCGCGAGCTCGTTTTACTCTCACTCGCTAAGCTTGCTATCGTTCTGGCCGCACCGCCCCCTTTCTTCTGGAAAAGCCTTCTTCTGGAAAAGCCGGCCAAAACCGTTTGGAACCGATCAGCATTGAAAAGAACGATGGCTGAAAAGGATGGGGGGATCAACTGATTTCCAAATAAGGGTCATGCCCTTCTTTCCTGAGAGCAAGCAAGCATAGTGGAAATGGGGTTGTCGCTCTCTTTCTTTTTAGGGAAAGGAAAGCCGAAGCTATGTTGCGGGGGGGGGGGGGCTCCCAGAGACAAACCTTGAGTCGTTCATGGAGAGCAACCCATTTTGGGCCTTATCCTGTGCATGGACAAAACCCCATATCGCACCACACAATAACACCATGGTTAAACTCTTTGTTTGTTGGCAGAAAATCATCAGCAACCAGGGGTTCTTCGGTCACGGTATCAAAAAGCAACAAACATGCCCCACTGAGGCACAATCAAACACTGGCATTAAAATGGCCCACCCAGAACCATGTAAAGAATTTTAAGAAGGCGGCCGCAACTATTTGTGGTTGGGACTGTCCCTTACTAACCTTCACCTGCCCGGGTTTTGATTGTGGCTCCACAGAAGTGGGGATAACCCCGTTGATCCCACAACCCTGAGCAAACATGCGCGACATAGCATGACTGATGTGATACCGCAAATGATTGATTGTTTGTGAAACACCCGTCTTTTTCTTCTTCTTTTTCTTCTGGGCTGCCCTCAGATCCCCCGCTAAAAGTGATTAACTTTTAGTGGGTTAAATGGAAACCGCTCCTAAACACTAAAAGGCTAAAACGCCAACATGATTCGAGTTAGGCCCAGTTATAGAATGTATATCTTATTGCTTGCTTCACTATGAGTCACTTTGAGAAATGTAAAAACATGTATCCTAAGCTGGGAGCCACCAAGTTTTGGCTCGCGCGGTCCTTCTCCGCCTTCCTGTCGCTCTCCCAGGAGCTGGATCGCTCCTCACGGAGCAGTGAAGATGCGAGTCGGCCATGGGTCAAAAGCCCGGTCCCCAATGAACATCAACCAATCCAACCACTAAAATAGGTTCTAACATGGGTGGTGAATTCACCCAATCCCCAAAATGGGATCCCATAGGTTTTGAGTCCCACAGCCATTTGGGTGTGTCAAACTCGACCCTCAACATTGAATTGGACTCCTTTTTTGGGTTCCTCAAGGAAATGCTGGATCGCTCCTGACGCAATGAATCGCAGGGAATCAACGGAGGTGTCCTCAAGCTCGACCCTCAAATTTGAGTCCTTTTGGAATTGTGTGTGTGTGTGTTTTCGGGGTGGGTTGAAAGGGAAACCAAAGCGACTTTGAGACAAACCCCAAGTTTGGGTGTTCCAACCCCCTAGGGCAAAAGTGGATGGGACAGTTGCCGGTATATGTGGCTAAGTAAAAGGGAGAACTGAATCAACACGGGGGGATTATGCCATCTACTTTCACCTCACTGCAAGTGATAGGTGATGAATCATACCACCTAATATGATACCGACATCCTATGCATGAGCTGTAAAGGTTTAAGGCCACACAGTTCGCCCCAACAAAGCCATGTAGAACCGACTACAATGGCCAGGGCTCGTGGGCACTCGAATGAAGTGAAGGGCTAAGCAAGCGTACGCTGGGGATTGGGGGCTCAACATTTATTTACACCTGGTGCCCTGGATCTATGGATTAGCCATGAATCACATTCTGGCAACACGACAAACCAACAAACCAAGTGACTGGTGTAACTTTAGGGGGAAACGCAAGCTCGAAACACGGAGGGCCGCCACAAAGTTGAGTTCTCGGGCACATGTGTAAGCATGGCTGGGAAATGACTCTCCCACCCTTTTCACATATGGAACCGTTCGACGTTTCGGGGGATTGGTCCTGGATCCGGCCATTCAGGGAGTCTTTTTGCCACCTTTTGGTGAGAAAATGGGCGACCCCCTCAGAAAGGAATCCTTCACTACCAGGGGGTCGATCATTTTTCCACCCCTTTGGTGGCAAAAAGACCCCCCTGCGACCATTCTCCCAAGGAACCTGTCAGCTTCCAGGTCAACTGCTGGAAATTTGTCCAAGCAGCGCAGCTCTCCTTGGTTCCGGGCATGACGTTCTGCAGGAGTGCTACCACCTCGGTTTGTATCAGAAGCGCCTACCATGGATCATCTAAGGCAGATGCTTGTACAAGAGTTGGTGGATCTAGGCTAAAGCCCTGCCAAGGTCTGCAACACTGCAGACGCCTCATTCATGTTTGGCAGCTGGCCTACCAATCCAGAGGTGTTTTGGGTGTCTTCCATGTCCACAAATCAGAAACCCCAGCAACTGGCTCGGTTCCTTTGGCTTGCCTCCAAAAAGCAAGTTTTCAAATGGCAAGTGCTTGTGGGCAGGTCGGATCCACCCTCAGCTAACGGTCGGTCTCCAAAGGGCTAGCTAAAAGGGGTACCGCCAGTAACGAATCCCCCAAATCTCATTTCAGGTCCTTGCAGGTGCGCCGCTTGGGATCTTCTTTGCAGCCGTTCGGGTTCACTGAGACATGCCCACGCTTAGTTGTCTCTTTTGTGGACCTCCGAGGTACTGGGGAGAAGGGGGCATCAGCTAGTACCCTTGCGTTCTTCTGGGTCCAAGGTCGCATCCTCAAAACTAACCTCAATCAGCTTCCCTCAAATTTGTGGTTTGGTGGTTGGGGGACGGTTTCCCATTCATTACCCTCTACAGGAAGGAGGTTCAAATCCCCAGCCCACCAATCCAAGTCATCCTTTAGGGTTCACCCAACTCTACATATTGGTTCCACCAAAACTGCCAGCACACAAAAGTAATCTGGAGGGGCCCAGTCATGGCCAGTCACAGCTTCCCTTTTTATGGAACCGAGTCGCGCTGGGTTGTTTTGCCGCCTTTTGAAGGGGATATCAAAAAGGGCACCTGTTTTTGGCAACGCCCCCCCCCCCCCAATGTCAATGCAAAACTGTTTTCCAAAAAGGAAAATACTGGAATCTCCTGGGATATCGGAACATGAGGAAATTGTTTGCGCTGCTCCTAAGTTTGTCCTCCAACAGCAGGTCCCTTCATGAATGTGTTTCACGGGAAGTATATATGTTCTTGGCCTTAATCCCATGCCTCAAAATGTTCTTCCACAGTTCTCGGGCAGTGCAGTTCGTGTTGCTTCTTACATGCTTGAGAATTCTAACACGGAGCCAACTCCAAAGTGGTTGGACACGAATCCCTACTCCCCCACCCAAAGGATGACCAACTTCGCAAAAAGAAAAAAACGCAAACCAGTCGGTCGGACCTTACAGCGATCCGAGTGGCTTCTCTCAAGCAGATGGTGCCCTGACTGCGAACGTCCAGGAAGTCGAAGGTGTCCCTTGGCTCCTCTCCCCGAGCCATCCCGAACGAGAAAAAGAGGTCGAGCTGGGACCTCTTGTAGGGCAAAACATGGGAAGGCCCATAACTGTTTTCCCGTTTTCAGGCGCAAGAGGGGCGAGTCAGTCACGAAGACCAGCCATGAAAATGACGATCTGCCAGTTTTCAATCACTTAGTTGGTGACCCCTGTTTGGGCTCCATAAGTGAGACTTCCAATCCACCCCCCGTTGGCGCAAACTCGAGGGGAATGCAAATGAGACCCGAAGGCGTCCAATCCATGTTACCCCTCGATGAAACAAATTATTGTATAACAAAGTGGAAAATCCTTGTACGTAGCTACTCTATCACTTCAAGAGAGATTCCTGACACCTCGGTATCATTTCTATAAGCAGTTGGCCAAAGAACAAGCTTCCCGAAACCACAAAAACCAAAACGCGAAAACATTGCTCAATCCCCAGGAATTACCTCTGCTTCAGGAACCTGCAGAGCCAACATGTTGGGCGCTCGCAACTGTGAAGGTCCGACGTGTGTGTCTAAAGCTTTCCGGAGTCCGAGAAGCGCAAGCCCGAAACTTGCTCGCTCTTGCCCCCACTGCAAGTTCAGCTTTGTTTGGGTCCAATGGAAAATCCACAGTGTTCCAAGAAGTTAAAGCCCAAAGATCCAACCACATAGACGAAATACGAGATCCGCGGCCTCGTTGTCTGGCTAAAAAAAGACAACTGGTGCCTGGTGGGGAATTTGTCCCCATGCAAGGCACCCCCGACGCAAGACGGGATAGTCATCCAGCCGCCAAACACGCAGCTTGGGCTGACCGATCCAACAAATCCGTACTAGGGGGGGGTCGTACAAACAAACCTCACCTTGGAAAACAATCTGTGGATGGACGCAATCCTGTACCACCGAAGAAACCCTTGAATGATGATTCCCCTGTAAATACTAACAAGCAATGGTTCCTCTTTGTCTCAAAGTGGTGCGAACGGACTTTGTCCATCCACAGTATGACTCAAACTGGACAGCTCACTGGATCAAAGGCAGCAAGGTCTGCTGGCAACCCCAAAGCTCTCAGTTGCAAGCCATTTCTTTGTGAGGCAACACGCCTCGGAGATTGAACACACGGAGGCTGACTTGGAATGGAGCTGTGTCTGGTGAAGCAATAGCACCGCAAAGAAATCCAGGGCAGTTCCACTAACAGCCAGCTGTGTGTTCAAACTTGGGTCTTTCAATGGCCAGCCTCATTGGTTCGATAGTACAATTATAGTGGTGACTTGGACCCTCTGGGACTGGTCCAGAAGATGTTTGACCTTTTCTGTTTTCAAATGCAGGTTTCCTGCATCCCCTGATTCCCGAATATGAGCCAGTGCCTCTTTCCCACAGTCATAGGGGTGACAAGGATTTTTGCAAGATCTTGAAAGGGCTTATGCTTATTGGAAAGGGCAAGATTAAATCTGGCAATGTAGCTCGACTTTTCCGCGCGTCCCATGAAGCTCACTCCTCGCAGGTGACCTGCAACCTGTCCAGCAGAAGACCAAAGGCCTGGCAAAAAACCGGAGCCGCCGATTCGACTCTGCGGATTTTGAAGTCCAACTGAATTTGGGGCCCCAGGGAAAATGTGTTATCCTTTTTAACGTCCCTGGACAGCCAACCAACAAGGTGTCCCCCCCCCAAAGAAAACCAGAAAGAAAAGAAAACAGCCACATTTGTGTCAGAAACGTCGGAGCCGTGTGGTTCACCGCAAAAAAGGATTGCAACTCTGGTGTTATTTCTATATGAACTCATCTGTCATATGTGATCAGTGCACACAACGGAAATCACTACACCAAAAGCAAAGAAGCAGCCGAAACCGTCAGAACTCATCTGTGCACGGAGGATTTCTTGTTTAGAAGAAGTTGGAGTGGGGATCGGATTGAGACGATTCATTGAGATGAATCATCTGGTGCTTCGGGAAATTCTGGTCCTCGCTTCAGCAATCATTCACTGAGCCAGCAGGGGTTGTCCAAAGATAGCGACAACGCATGAACTGTGAATGGACCAATCCTGCCCCAGTTGGTAGGTCTTGTTTCTTCCAGTCTTTGAGGGCAAATACCAAACAAACAACACACACCTTGAGCACATGGAAGCCTGGCAAGGGTGTTGGAGAAAACCATAAGTCAGCGTCCCTAAGCAAGGAATACCATGTTGTGCTGCTGATTCTGTGTAGGTAAAGCCAACTGACGAACACATTGGAAGGGAGCATTCAAGGAAAAATCATCTGCTCAAATTGTTGTCATTCATGAGCTTCCCCAATAACGCATTATGATTGGTAAGCTCATATGGATGGCCGGAATAATCTTCAGACGTCAATCCAAAGGCTGCGTTCTGTCCCCCATCCTATTTCGTAAGCCACTACCCAGGATATGTCGGATTAATTTCGATGAACCGAGAGTTCGATATGTGGTTCGTGACCCCCCGTCAAGCCCTCTTGGCTTTTAGTAAACCCTATGTAACAACTACATTATTTTATCAAAGGAAGCTTAGTTAGAAAACTTCCGTACTACGAAAAGTAGTTTTAGACATGCGCAACACGCGAAGGGTACCCCTGTTCAGCGTGCGGGATCGCCACGGGGCCGAATGTTGCCCACTGCAATGCTCGCGCAGACGTTTTCGGAGGTTCATTTTGCGTGGCAGGCGCAGCACTTTGGCAACCTAAGATGCAGATTTCGTGGCAAGCGCAGCATTTTGTGCCCGGCAAGGTCGAGTACAGATTTCTTGGCAGGCGCAGCATTTTCGCAAGGTCGAGTACAGATTTCGTGGCAGGCGCGGCACTTTCGCAAGGTCAGGTGATAGATAGATAGATAGATGGATAGATGGATGGATAGATAGATAGATCAAATAAATTCAGAAGGAAATAAGAATAAAAAGAAAGAAAGAAAGAAAGAAAGAAAGAAAGAAAGAAAGAAAGAAAGAACGAAAGAAATAAAGAAAGGGACAGAGAAAGAGAAATAAAGAAAGAAAGAAAGAAAGAAAGAAAGAAAGAAAGAAAGAAAGAAGAAAGAGCGAGATAGAAAGAGAAAGATAAATACAAAGAGGTAAATAGAAGAAACAAATAAGGAAAAAAGAAAGAAATAAAGAAGGAAGGAAGGAAAGAAAGAAAGACATACAGAAAGAAAGACAGAACAGAAATAAAAACAAAAAGAAAGAAAGAAATAAATAAAGAAAGAAAGAGATAAAGATAGAAAGAATAAATAAATATAAATACAGAAAGACAGACAGACAGACAAACAGACAGACAGAAAGAAAGAAGGAAAGAAAGAAAGAAATCAAAAAGGCGCGCCTTGTCTTGACTCCCCCTGTTTTGGTTCCCCCCTGTCAGTTTGGGATTGTAGCCGGAGCCACTCGAATGGGGACAGGTAGGGCACTGATCTTTTGCACACATTGTGTTGAGGCCAAAGATACACTCTTACGGTAGGGCGGTCCCTGTCTTAAACTCCCCCTGTTTTGACTCCCTCTGTTAGTTTGGGATTGGTTTCTGAAGTCGCATTGTCTTTTGTGCGCAGCGTGTTGAGGCCAAAGATACACTCTTCGGGAAGAGGAGAAAGAAAAGGAAGGAAGCAAGGAAGGAAGGAAGGAAGGAAAGAAAGAAAGAACGAAACAAAAAAAAAAAGAAAAACCAGACAAATAACGAAAGAAAGAAACAAAGAAAGAAAGAAATAAAGAAAGAAAGAAAGAAAGAAAGAGCGAAGCCAAAACAAAACAAGCCAAGCTCTTCCTATAGGCACGTTTCTCGTTTTAGAAGCTTCCGCCCACCGGCTCTGCCGGCTCTACTGGTAGAAATGGGGAGACTCCAGATCACTTTGAGGTGGGGCTAAACGGCCCCTCTCTCCCTTCGCAGGCTTGTCGATCTCTGCGTTTCCCCGCAACGCGGGGCCTTGAAGTTGAGCCGCTTGTCCCAGCTGATGCCGCACTGGAAAAACTCCGAGATCCGGCGATGATTGGCTAAGGCCTGGACGGGCGAAGTCAGAAGAGGTCATATCCGGGGGCTGAAAAAAAGGGAATCCCGAACCAGGGTGGGATTTGTTTGTGGCTTCTTTACAACATGTGTATGTCATACATATTGGACATAGATTATCTCGAACAATTGCTTCGATGAACATGCCTGGGAGAAGAAACAGGCAATATGAGGGGGACCAACTCGGAACAAATGCGCAAGATGAGATAACAAATGCACTATGAAAGAACTAAGACGCAATCTCTGAGAACCAACACGCAGTTTGGAGCAAATGGAGCAATAAAAGATCATATCTGCCGGGTACGAGTGACCATTTCGGAGGTCCCCCTTTGTGGGAGGGGCATGCCGTTTTGACCTGGTCTCTCACTTCGCTTCAGGGCAAGTCCTAGCGTTTCAGATGGCTCCACGGCGCTGAAGCCCCGCGTTTGGTTGGCGGCGAAATGGATCGCAACGCCGCAGTTCCCAGATGGTTTTGGGAGGACACCAAAGGCCACTAGACCCCCTGGAAAGGCTCGCAACGTCTAAGAGGTGCTCAGAGATCAGGGGCCTGATGCCAAGATCTGTCGTGCTCCTGCGACTGTGCTGGATCGATGGGTCCATATTTCAACCCGCCGAAAACGCCGGCCATTGGACTCTGGCAAAAACATCAGTCAAAGCGCTTGGCTGGCAACATGGCCAAGCGCATGATGCAGGGTCTACAACACCTATCATTCACCAAGCTGAATTGAGAAATATCCTTCCTGACCTGCTGAGGGTTGCAACGCCAGTAGCGCTCCATCGTTGCTGTCCCAACAGTGCCTCCCTTTATTTTCGAGATAGCTCTGACAACCGTCGTTCTTTTCAAAAACCGTTCGTTTTCCCTAGGTGTTTCGCGGTTTGCTGAAAAGAAGGATCCCTGCAAAGAATGGAAAGCCCTCTTCCCTGCATCCATCTCCGGAAACTCGCAAGGGGTGCATAGGCCGCTCCGTGGCGAGAGAAGTGCTAAAGCACTTCCAGTAGATTTTGCTCAGAATGACCACAGCGAAGCCACGGGCCCCCCCCCCCCCCCATCAAAAACATGCTGTTGATGGATGAATTCTCGCACCAAGCCCTGGAATGGTGATTTCCCTGTAAATACCAACAAACACTGGTTTCAACCATGGTTTCATTTCCTGGTTCCACAGTACCACTTTGCCAGACCCGGAAGACCCAAGAGGCCTGCAGCCGCAGCCCTTCAACGATGCAGCTGGGGACAAAGAGCTTCACGCCCCTGAAAAACCTCAGGTCGCGGCTTTAAGCAAAAAGGGGCCTTTAACTATTTGAGCCAGAGGTGGGGCCAAAACCCATATTGCGACTCAAAAAAGGCACCCAAACAAATATGTCTGGTTTGCGTTGCTGACGACAACCAAGTTGCCCAAAGCTCGGCAAGCAAAGCACGGAAAAATTGGAGGGATCCTTGTTCCCTACATTCAAGAAACCAACGGACACAAATCAGTCTTACTTCCTCAAAAAATATCCCTCCTGCTTTTAATGGGACATTGAATGGGCATCCCCTCCTTGTCCTCCCCAAACAACGTCAAACTGCCAATAGTACTGGTGAATGAAAACAATGGGAGCAATGCGTGGAACCTTGCTGAACACTTCAATGCAATTCTCTTTCGCTTTTGCTAGCATGTGGGTGTCAAAATAGGGAACCAAAGACTCGTGGTTTTCTTGCTGGTTTCCCTTCAAACCAAGCTGACAAGGGTACCCTCACAACAAACCCCGCACAAAACCCTTCCCCCCCGCCCCCCCAGCATATTTAGTGCACCCCAAACTGACAAAAACATGTCAAACAAATCCCGGCCATCAAGGAGTCTGCCTGCTCACAATGACAGGCACGTGCGCGGGCACCATCAAAGTCAAGTTGCACTGAGCACGGGCTTGGAACTTTTCCGCTTGACCCCATGGCAGAAACAACCAAAGGACAAGGGCTACTAAGACACACATACACACACACACACTGGAAATCTTCAGGACCTGTAAGTGAAGTGAACCAGAATTTCTGTCCCCCATTCTTGCAGGCTCTTGGATCAGCTCAGTTGACTTGCCAGAGTTCAATCGTCTTGTTCAGCCTGTACTCAAATGATCATCTAACTCGTCAGTGGTTAAACCAACACGTTTCTTCTGCCACGAAAAAGCCCGGAGCAAAAAAACAACGACGCCACAGGAATCGCTTCCGGCTTCCGAATCGCAAGCGCGAGGGGCTCGTAGAGCGTGAGCCTGGAGACGTTGTTGGCATCCGCCAGCCAGAACAAGTAGCTGGTCTCGCGCCTCGAAAGGAAGGCGCGAGCGCTCGACCAAGCGAAAGCGGGGGGAGGAAACCCCTAAACCACGCAGGGGGAAAGGAGGAAAAACGTAAAAACCAGGTGCATCCTAGCTACCATAATAGTAGGTAACCAGCCATTGTCCTGTTTAGGAGTTTAAAGGGTGGTTTCCTTGGTTACCCACTATAGAGGCAAGCGCAAAAACTAGGCCACCATATCAACTAGAATCTGCAAAAGCTAGTCATTCCACAAGTTGATACTGATCTGCTGAGTTGACTGGTCAGATGAAGTTCAATTATTATGGGTCGCCAACTCAGCAAATAAGGGTAATGTAAGGTTCAAGTATCTTGTGCGGGTGTACCTTGGCCTTTTGAGTACATCGTCCTCAGGAGGCAGTTGAACCCTGACCAACGCAATTCTCCACCTTGAATCATGTCAAACCTGAACTCTCATCATGGACAAGCTCTGCTACCTCCTGCGAGAGAAGGTCTAGTCGGGAGCTGTCAAAGTTCAGGTTCAAACAGCCAAACAGCCAAACACACGCACACACACACACACACCCTGATCGACCCTCAATCAAACCCTTCATGCGAAACAGCTGGTCATGTAACCCAACATCTGGTGATGTAGCACCCAGAATCCCCGCCCCTCCCCCTTTTTGATTTGTTTGCCTTCAACGGGGGAAGGTCCCCCCGTAAAAAAAAAAAAAAAAAAAAAAAAAACACATGAAAGGCATGGAAGGAAAGAAGAAGCAAGAAGCCGCACCTTTGGTCTTCTGTTCAATCTGGTAACATCCAATGGAACATCCATTGCGATCCATGGACAAACATTGTTGATCTGGCAAAACATGGGATAAATCTTGCCAAAACCCCCACGGTTAAGGTTAAAACCATGGTAAGTCAGCTTTGATCCAACAGACGGTTTTGGTTTCCTCCAGTCTGACACGGTGCTTTCGGATGCGTCGGACTCGCGAGCGGATGGATTTTTGCAGCTCTGGCCCCTGGTATCATAGGGTCTGTCTCTTGAGGGTACCCCCTTTTTGGTTGGCTTTAAAGGAAGCCAAAAAGAAAACTGCGGGGAACCATCTTTCTTGTCTCCTTTGCTGCAGATCTCCCAGCAAAAAGTTTCACTTTTTGCAGGTTGAAAGGAATATGAGGGGTATCCAACAAGTTAAAACATCTTGGGGAAGCCACGCCAGGGTTTCAGCGAAACGCCCCAAAAATAATAAATCAATTTACACTCTTCCTTAGAGAAAGGCTTGGGGTTAATAGACCGTGGGGTTCCCCTGCCTAAAACAAGTAGAGTTGGATTCCCCTTCTTGGGGTTCCCCTACTCAGACTCCCTGTGCCTGTCAGTAGAGTTCGGGGGGAATTGTTTGCCGCCTTTTGTGGATTGATCGACCCCCTCGAAGTGAAGGATTCCTTTTTGAGGGGGTCGGCCATTTTCTCACAAAAGGTGGCAAAAAAAAGACACCCCCCCCCGTTGTTGTTCTCTCCTTTTTTTCCTTTCCTTTTTTATCTTCTTTCTCTCCGGAGTGCCCAAAGGTTTCACCACCAGTTGGATGGTCGAGTTGGGGCTCCCCTCTGAGACAAACCCGTGGTCGGCCTGCTGAAGTCCAGGGCTTCCAAGATCTCCGCGAACTCCTCGCAGGACAGCCTCGAGGCTTCAGCGCTCCAGGCGAGGGAAGGAGCCAAAAACCCGGCGGGGGGGTGGGGTGGGTGGGGTGGGTCTGTTTGGGTGGGAAGCCATGAGTGAAGAAACACATGCCCTCGTTTGAAGTTTCGGAGAGTTCTGAGTTCAAAGGCAAATATGACACCGTGGGGGTGGGAGGGGTGGGCGATTTCAGCCCACTTCCGACCCCGAAGGTTGAGCCCAGCTCTCTGCATCTGGCAATGGTCGCAAGTCAAAAGATCCGTGGGACTTGGGGATCCATTCGCCCTGCTTCGGTTGCCAAATCTTCGGGACATGTGGCCTGAAGATGCTGGATCTCGTGGTGCGGTGCTTCTCTGGGTAGTCCGGGTAGTGGAGACTTTAACAGGATGGGTGAGCTTGATGACTTTATGGGTAAAGGAACAACACCTGCTTGAAACCTTTATGCTTCCACATGTTCGAACATGCGGAGACAGCTCGGCTCCATTGTCGTGCAGCCCGTCAAACCGATTGAAGTTTAGCCAATGGGCTGAGGGTTGGCTGGATCCAGGCCACCGGCGACTACATCTCACGACTGGAAACGTGGGCTGCCCTCCATTGATTTCCCCTAATGTTAACCCCGGATGAATAAAACCCAGGTTGATTCTGATCGGGGGTGTCCAATTCCTTTTAGTGGTTGGATTCAGAGCACTTTTGGAGGGAACACCCCCCTAATGGGAGGGGTTTAAATCAATCCTGGGTCAACAAATTCAGGGAAATGCCCGCCGCTTCCCGGCCCTTGGGGCAGCTTTCGAGACACTTCCCTTGAACATGGCGATGGTGAGATGCTTCTTGATGGAAGGCCTTCACGACGAACGAGTCAGCTTCAGCGGAAGGATGCTTTTTACTTTTGTTTTGGCCATCACGAAAGCGGGCGAAGTATCCCTTCCGGCCAAGCTGACTAGTTCTCCCCTCTCCGCTCTCAAGCCCTCTCTCAAAGCCCTGCTCTCCGGGCGGAAAGTTGATGCTCCGAGCGGCCGCATGTCATCATCATTGTTTAGGTCCTCACAGGCCAAGGTTAGGCTCAAAACGAGTCATCACATCACTCGGGAGAGAACGGAAACTTAAGACTTTCTTCGGGGTGGGTCTTAAGCTTTTTGCCAGTGCGAAAGCTGTCCCAAGGACTAAATGATTCAAGGCCTGTTTGCAAGTGTCTGGACTGCTGCACAACTCAACCGGTAAATAAAAGGGGGGCGGCAGCACCTATCTATGGGATAGTCCCTAGCCTTCATCTACCCAGATCTTGATTGTAGCTCAAATGCTGGGCGCATTTGTGACATAGGCTGCCAATGAAACTTATCAGCAGCTCACTCCTGAAAAAAGAATGATAGGAAACATAACATTCCTATGATTTCGCCTGGGCTCCAATCCTTCTAGCGAGTTTGCATTGGTGTGAGGCAGGGCTTGCCTTTCCCCTCAAGCCCCAGAGATGCCCCCGAGCTTCTTGGGCAAGCAGAGCCATGTACAGAATGAAGAAGGCTGCTGCACCTATTTGTGGTCGGGACTGTCACTTTACCCGGGGGTTTTGCGAGTGGCCGATGTGAATCTGCAGAAAGGCGTGTGCCTCGCTCCTCATGCTCCAAATGCTCGAAGGACTCCCGGAAGACGGCCTCGATGCTGCGATACCTCTGCTGCACCTTGCCATATCCGGCCGCACGAAGGGCGGGACACTTGGGTAACCCGTGGACCCACTTTGTCGTGCGCAAACTAACAGTATAGACGACCAACAAATGGCGAAACCACACAAGCTGGTACACTCGATTGAATTCCCTGTAGTAGCCAACGAAAAGAAAGCCCCCCCCCCCGGCCAACAAAAGCAAAGCCTAATAGTGTATCTTGCTTCTGCGGAAATCCCAGTTGTAGTAAGGGCTTTAACCAATATGCAAGTAGTTGACTAACAACAACCTGAAACCGACACTCTTTTTTACGGGGGTATACGCCTTGAAGGTTCGATCTTGAGGAGAAGATCTTGGACCCCTGATTAGCGTTTCTGCGTACTCGGTGTATCTGTTAAAAGTTGTTCAAAATAACTCCTAGAAGGACTGCTATGGGCAAGCTGAGCAATCCTCCCATCTCACCCAGGGATACATCAAACCCGAGAAGAATGCTGTGTACAAATCTATGATATATATATATATATGCATATATGGGGGTTGTGCAAAATTAGTTCTTCTGCAAACTGCCCTTCCGCCGCCCTTCCGCAAACATTCCGCGCACTTCCGCGCCCATTGTGAATTTACACACAAGTTATCACTGGTTGTCGATCAATGTTTTCGGTTCTGGCCCTTCCGCATCTCTTCCGCCGCGCTACCGCGTCTCTTCCGAAAACACAGTGGTAAGCTCATGCCATGTAAGCCTGGAAATGTAGAAATCTAACATAATCCATGGGTTTAGGGTTTTAGCATGACGCCCATATAGACATGCATACATGAAATAATGTTGCATCATGTCATGTGCGCAAAACACAAAAACATAATATATATATATATATATATATTTATACATATCTACATATTATACATGCATACGAACACAACTACATACATTTCTTGGGCTATACCTGTGTTGTCTATAGTGTGCGCGCGTGTGTGGGTGTACCATGATAGATAACATATCCCCCTCTAATGGACTTGCGTTTGGTTCGCTTTCACAACAGAACTCCAAACGTTGAGATTCAAGACTCAACTTTGGAGAAGAACCAACTGAAAGAGCTCATTGAACATGAATTTCAATTCAATCTGAAAGAATCTACTTTCTAATTCCATGTAAAACTATAGTTAAACAAATGTGGTATCAACTTGGAACGGAGTTCCTTAAATCGCATTTGTTTACTGCTACACATGTGCTAAGCAAAATACACTTTGGCAAATCAAGTTCAACAAAAGCAACTGTTCAGTATAAGAGTAGCACGTGCCGTACACTTTGGAAGCCTAAACTGCTAGCATATGTTATCATTTGTTTACTATATATTGTTTTGCAGCGAAAATCAGCAACCCATCAACTGGGAGGAAAATCATCCCTATCTAAAACACTAATTGAAATCGAAATAGTTCAGCTCTGTTATCTTGGTGTCATACTCTTATTGTTTTACAGGGAGTCCAGCAAAATATCGATGTGGGATGAATTAATTCGTTCCTATTCTGTTTTGCTCATTCAAATTGAGATCAACATCAATGACACAGTGCTCCCTGTTCCTGCGCAGGTTCTCTTTCCATTGACATTCTAGCTCAAAAAAACAAACTTGAAAATCAATTCCAATCTAAACGCGTTGCTTATCAAATCGATTTAGAAACAGTCAATGACACCTTTTCAAATTCAAATGAAATAATACCTCATTTACAATGCTGGGTCAGTTCCTCATCTCATTTCATTTGACGTTAATTTTGCGCAAACGAGCCAAGCCAATGACAGGAAGGTGCTTCAGACAACATGGATTTCCACTCCTAGCAACAAATGGTTATAACCTTCGGCTTGCTTCAGCATTTGTCAGATCATTGCTCCGATCCAGGCCACAGCAAAGAACTTGAAAGTTGCTGGCCACTTTGCAGTGGTTGGGTTGCTGGATCTTGGATCTGGCCGCAAAACTTCGAGCTACTCCAACGACTTAAGCCTTCTTTTTTCGTGGATTGCTAGATCTAGGTGCCGGTTTGACCTCAATTCAGAGGAGTAAACCAAGGAGCACAAATTCTCAAACATACCGTATTTAAATTTCTCAGCGTCAGTATCTTGGGGGGGGAGAGGGTTGCCCAAAATGGATACATGATACATGGAGCACATCCCCAGTGCTTCGGCCCAACATTCTCCCCAAGGACCGCGCCTTGCGCCGGAAGTCCTCCATGTGGAGGGTGGGCCGCGACAGCGCGAGCGCCGAGAGCAACCTCGGCCGGCGGCCAACGTGCCGCGGCATCGGGTCAGCGAGGGTCCGAAGCGATGACATGGGAACCGGCCCCAAGATACTTTTTTGGTGAGTATCCTCCCCCCCCCATTTCAGGGTAATTAGGTGACCCCAATTTTCGGAGGATGCCCTTGTTAAGCTTGCTTTTCCAAGAGAAGCAGCAGTTTCAGTCTCTGCCTATGTTGACATATCCCCACATGGGATTCTTCGGATAAGCAGCACGTAAGCTAAGAGGGACCTGGACGTTTATGGTGGGTTTCATGCCCACCTGGGACGAGAGCAGAGTAGCTAGCCAGGCACTTCATCTCTGGGACTTACATGATGGTTTCCCTGGTTGGCTATAGCTTGAAAGCACTGGGGCCCAACCAGTACCCACTGGCGCTAGATCGTCAACTCTTGTTTGGGGCTGGGAAGTAGAGATTATCTTAGCCTGGACACTTGCATAAAAGTGCTTTTGAAAGGATACCTCCTCCAAGCAACGCTTGGGCCTTCTTGAGAGGGAACCACTGCAATGTGTGAACATTGATTGATACAAATCTACCTCAGCTATTCCCCCGAACAGAATATGTCTGAGTTTGGCCCTTGTTTAGTGAATGTTAAACCAGACTCCCGTGCCTTAGTGCAACTGCTCTCCGCGCGTATGTTTCACAGGTCCCTTCCATGCAAGCTGTCGGCCGGTTGAAACGCGGTGTCCCGTTCAAACCAAACCTAAAAGGACAAAAACAACGGGGGTCTCCAAAAACATCGCACCCTCCTTGGCCCACAAGAAAGAAGCAAGCGCTGGCAAAAAATGCCAAGAAAAGGCCCTAGTGAAGACCTACATATTTAGGTTGTTAATTTGTGATTTGGGCAATCAGCCACCCAACAAATACAACATAAACCATCAAGCATTTGGAACATGTTCTCAGCTTGGTTTTGGACCCTCGGACAAGTGAGTCAATGGCACAAGTCCAACGAAAAAACAAAGGGCAACACACAAAGCGCCACCCGCTCATTTGAAGTACTCCCGCTGAAGTAGGAAGCCAGGCATTGAATTGAATGCCATGGGTTTCCAACCAGATGACTGTTTGCTATATTTATCAACTCTGTCTTATGTACCAGTAGTTGCCGCGTTTTGCCTGATGATTCTGTTTCCTCTTGCCTGGAAGCGCCTTCCACTCATAGGACGGCTTCGGCTTCGGGGCCCGTGCTCAGACCGAGACAGCTCGCCGCCGGCATCCACGTCGAGGATTCGGCTGGCCTGACGGGACGGCTTCGACTGAGGCGATGGCCCAAACGAAAGCTACCAGAGCGAGGTGAGCTTCTAGGTCCTCCAGAGGTTAGAATAAGGGTACCAACGTTTTTCAGGACGTCCATTTTAGTAGGGCAACCCTCCCCGAAAAAAGTTTGACAAATGGGCACTCACTACTGGGGCAGGCTTTTCTTCCAAGTGAGATTTCCCGACTGGCCAGAAAAGCCGAAACTTGTTGACCACTAAAGGTCTCGGAAAAATAATCATCAGGTTGTTTACCACTTGTTTACCCGACTCGTTTCCCTCAGGTCCTGGACTAAAAGAATCCCAACAAGTTTTTCAGTCCAGGACCTCAGGGAGTAAGCACACGCCAATTTTTTTTGCTGGCTTCTTTTGAGCCCCAACCTGGCAGCCCAAGACTTTGCTTTGGGAGCTTGGACGTCAAGGATCTGATGGAGGGGTTAGGTCTGTGGGTCTGTGGGTCTGTGGGTCAGTAGGGTCATGTAGGGTCTGTGGGTCAGTAGGGTGGCCCCCCTGACAGGGCAGAACTTGGTCCCAGAAAAGAGCAAGGTCACCCTAGAGTCTTCGTACCCTTTTGGTTCGGAATTTTAGTTGCTCACAAACTTTACAGCAACAAAAACCCGATTCACCTGGCTTTGGGAGGTCAAAAATGGGTACCCAAAATGGAACCCTGGTAAATGGAACCCAGCATTAAAACCTGGGGTCCATATCTTGGTGGTTGAATTTTGACCCACACCCACCTGGTCTGGCTCACAAAACCCTTTTGGTTTGCTATTTCAATGGCTCACAACCCACACCAACAAAAACCCGATTCACCTTGCCAGGGTCTCTTCCATTTGCTTAAGCAAGAAAATTATCCAGTGATAGATTCCCTTTAAAAGCAACAGGGCAAAATAAAACATATTCTTAAGCAAATGGAAGGTCCAGAGATGATCCCCCCGCGCCTTCTGCGCCACCGCCGGGGAGAACCCGAGCCTCTCCACGAGCTTGCGCTCGAAGGCCTCGTTCGCCGGTAAACCCGCGGAGGAACTCCCCGAGGGTTCCTTGCCATTAAAAGAAAGGAAGCTCACCCATTGCGGCTCAAAGGGAACGGTGACCGAAAAGCAAAGCTACAGGCTAGGGTTCAAAAACAAATCCTATCAAAAGAATGGCCCAATTTGGATGAGAATCCTTAGGTAAAAACAATGGTGGTTATATCAGCCCCCATTGGTTTAATGGTGGTTTAAATCCCAGGGGCTCCCAAAGTCCACAAGGGGAGTCGGCCTCTTGGGTTTTTGCAGCTCAAGCCATGCCCACACTGACCCCAAACGGAGGTGGACATTTCCCGCTGATTTCAAGGAAACGAGGGGAACTTCGTAACGTAGGGGCCCTGGGGCTCCTAGCAGTTTGATAGTAGCCAGTTTTTGTTTTGTTTTTTAAACCTTTTGTTTTGACATGGCAGTGTCACTTGGAGGCAGGAAACTGCAACTTGCGATTTGCAAATCTTTCAAGGGCTCACTTTGCTGTTCGATGCGGTGGCATTTCAATCAATCGACGGGAGCGAGCTCGTGGCACGATCAGGCTGCCGTAAAAAAAAAAAAAAACACCTTCAACTCCCTTCACGCAAACAAGCATATCAATATCTTAAGTCTCTCAACATGTCCCAAAACAAAGCATCAACTCCGTGAAGGCACCGAGGTCACCCAATCATAGGTGACCTTTTGGGAAAATTGATGGCCCTGGTCAATGGAATAAACCGCATCTAAACCAGCGCCATCGATTTTTGACAAAACTCACCTCAAAAGGACACTTGTCACCCAATGTTCTCGTCCGCGCCTGCAGGCTGATGCTGTCTCCGCGGCCAGGGCCAAGGCCTCTCATGGGGTTGGACGGTTGGCCCCTCTTATGAGGTTGAGGGGCCATAAAAAGCGAGTACTGCTTATCTTGCTGGCCTGTGGCAGAAGTTTCCAACCAAAACGGATGGCAACGCACCCGGTAAAGGTCGCCTAAATACTTGCGATCGGTGCGAAGTCGGTAGGGAAAAAGAAATAGAATAAACCCCGGCTTTGGTCCCCTGAAAGGAAACCACCAGTTGGATGGTATAGGGGTCATTCCCTCATTCCCTGCTGGGAGCACCAGCAAGTTATTTGCTTAAGCACCCCAAGGTGGTCGTCTCCGCTGAGGGGTCTCCATACTTCAAGGCACCTCGTAACAATCCGCCAACTGGACAGCTCAACTCATGATTCCCAACAGGTTGACTTCTAAGGATCTCGCCAAGCCAAGGTGGTCCTTCTTGCCGAGGTGGGGGTATCCTTAAGATCCTTCATCATGCCTCAAGCCACGTGTTCCTGACCCATGACCCTCCACAAATCGCTACACATTTGACGGATATGGGGAGTCCCCCACCCACCTGGTTTTGGAACCATCTCCTTGGGAAAGGGAGCAGCAATGCAAAACCTAGAGGAACATGCATAGTGTAGGGGCTTGCTTGCAAGCAGCCAGGCACTAGGTATGAAACGTCCAAACCCCTACATTCGGACCCTCGCGAGAAACTGATGGATCCTTTGCGCGGCCTGGCTTGGGTTCGTTCCTCGGTAAGCTCGTCCTGCTCCAAACCTTAAACGTTCCATGTGGTGCTTCTGCTTCCCAACCTTTGGTTTAACATACCATTTATCAAGTGCTGGCTTATTGGCGTGGTCGGTTGATTGGTTCTTTGGTTGGTTGGTTGGTTGGTTGGTTGGTTGGTTGGTTGGCTGCTGGGTTGGTTGGTGGCTCGGTGGGTGGGTGGGTTGGTAGGTAGGTAAGTTAGTAGGAAGATGGGTTGGTCAGCCGCTTGGGGACGACAATCCGGCGACTCGTTGAAATCCGGTGCCCTGGTGTCCAAACACCTCGCCGCCCACCGCCCCATGTTTTGCTGGTTTGAACCACGGCATTTTGAGACGGATACGAAAACCCCAAACCCACCAGGCGCATCTTTCCCATCCCTTGTATGCAGTTTTATCCGGGGCTGGGTTCAAGTCCCACCGGCCCTATGCCTTCTTTGGGTCCTTTAGGTTCCCTTTAAACACCAAGAAGGCAAGCTACCAAACAAACTCCCAAAAAACCACCAAACAACCAGGGTTCCATTTCGGCACATATTATTGACCCACAATGCCGCGCGCAACTAGAACCGATTTGTTACGGGAATGTCAAACAGGGCCCGTGGTTTAACCCCCCCTGGCCGATGCAGAGTGTGTTCTATATGGATTGAAACCCGCGTTGAAACAAAGTTCTGTGATGACCGGAGCTCAGCGCACAAGATCATGCACCATTGGCTTAACTGAGGAGTTCAGCATAGCCCTATTAGCATGGGCAACTGTGCTGGCAAACTATGGCAAGGCTACTTGGTTTGCCGTAACTGCTCAATTGGGCAATCTTGATATCCCGAAAGCACTGGGCCAACATGAATCAACCATATTCCCGCAAACAGGTTGCTTGGTTGTTACTTGAAGCTTACTCAGTGTGGGTTGCAGTGGCAAGCTCCTCGTTTGTTCATGGGCCAGAAAAGTCGCCCTGAGGCGTGATTTGCGCTCGAGCCCCGTGGTTTCACGGAGACACTTGAAAAAACACAAGCATCCGGTTCATCTCTGCATGTTAAAACAAAAATATGGCAAACATGTCGTGCCCATACCCTCAGGGTTTCCTGAGAATACATCAAGCAACACGAATGGATAGTAACACCGAAAACAACACCTTTCCAAGGTAAGCTCTGATTCGGGACCAAATTGAACCATTATCTTCCGCAAAATTGGGTCCGCATGCCCTCCCCAATCAAGCAATCCGTCCATCACTTGTTGGTCAATGTGTAAACCAATGGCAGAAAACCCGAGTGACCTACTATGGTGACAACTGCCTGGAGGGATTGACTGGATCTGAGACTTGCTATTTTGTCAACTTGGGCGAGAAGCTGGCAACTGGTGGACTATAGAATCCTTGAGTGAGGGATGAGGTAGTGGTAGGGTTTTTCAGGGTTCCGGATTCTAAAACAATCCTAGAGATTCATTGAAGTGTCTTGGGGTTTCTCACGGGGTTGAGGGGGGTCTCGCCTCCTTTGATGCTTCCCGGAATTTCCGAGGAATCGTCTCCCTGTTCCCCTGAATTTCGCAAAATGTGCCGGCCCCCGTTGCCTGCCCAAATTCCCTCCGTGGTCTCCCACTTCTGCCGAGCGCGGTCGGCCTCAGCCGAAGGTGGAGGAGACATCTGGATGAAGCGGGGACTTGGCTTGGGTCATGTCCACCCCGGAAGCTATGCTGTTGTTCATGCATATATATATGCATGTATATATATATATAGGTATACATGTATGCGTAAATGTATATATATATATATATGTGTATATATATATATGAATATATACATATATATATATGTATATATATGTCTACACACACGTGAATATGTATATATATATATACACATTCTATCAACGAAACACCAAGCAATAATAAAACATCACCAACTCAGCAACTGCACGCTTGCTCGTCGATTTGGCCCAAGGAGGGAAAGGGCAACTGCCCTTTGTCGCCCCATACGATCGTTCGATCGAGAGGCATAGAGAACTGGGTCTGTGGGACCAACGTTGGATTCCCATCTCTATGCTGTGGCACTGAGGGCCTTCCCCCAGAACCATCAGGGGTGTCTTTTGCTGAAAGTCCCTGGCTATGCGTTAACATGAGCCAAAAAAAAACGTGTCACAAATTAGAGGACCAGTTCCTTCCGGTTTTCAAACAAAAATGGACAAGGATGCTTTGAAGAAGCGCTCGTTTCGTTTGAGTCGATCTGCTGGTTCCCATCTGGGATCAGGACCAAGTCCTCCAGCAGCAAAGAGGGGCCCACGCTGCCCAAAGCTGCCAGCAAGTCGTTCAGAGACGCCTCAAACTGCAGGCACTGCAAGCAGACCCATTGACTCACGACTTGGAACGCCTCAAACTACCCCCAAAAAGTTGGTTGCCCCAAACTTATGGTTGGTGATTTCCCATTTGCAAGGCAATTTGAGGGCGCAGGTAGACGAATCGGATTGGAACCTTTTTGTTTCACGAGCTCTGAGGCGCAGCCTCAAAACCTGGGCTGCCGTTTTCCGATCCCCGCTGAAAGCTTAACTTTTAGTGGGTTAAACGGAAACTACCACTCAACACGAAAAGGATCTAAAAAGCTAAGGGGATGGCTGGGAGCCACACAAAAACAAGGTGCCACTCGGCCTCCAGAAATGTGTCGGGAGAGGACTTTGTTGGGCAAAAAAGCAGGGCTCGCGGTATATCCCCCCAATTTGTGGGTATTCACACAAGTTGCTCTGCAATCACTCAACCAAAATTGCGATATGGATGTGATGTTAACTTCGGGACCGTTTGGTGGACGTCATTTAGGTTGGGATTCATGTCCATCAACCACGTTTGAGATTGATAGCCATAATATGGGTATCAACATATCGGAAGTGAGCGGGTGTCCAAGTTCTGTGGGCGAGAGCCTTAGGGCTCCTTGGGGTTTCATTCATACGTGGCCTCTTGGAAAAATACATGGCAGGGAATAAGCTTTTAACCATGCTAACCTAAAAAGGACACCTATGGTTTCATTGTTAGATTTCATGACTGGCGGCCCAACCGCGGTGCAACCAGCGACCCTTGTAGAAAAGCAATCCTTCCTTGCGGTTGACCAGGCATGAGTGGCGAACCCAAGGGAAACAAGTCATGGCGCAGAACAGGCTGGGAAAAGGTGAAACTCAAAACACTTGTCCCGAGTTTTTGGGCACAAAAGGCCAGGACTCATGACTCGGAGGGTCATAATGCCCATGACAAACATAGGGGCCCGGCTCCTTTGGGTGTTCCTTTTGATTTCACCCAAAAGGGGCTTCCCCCCCTCCCGGCCGCAAAAAAAAACGAAAAAAGCTAGCCATACAGTGTGCCCATCTCAACTGTGTGTAGCTCCGAGCCTTGCTGTAAGGATCGCCCCCGTCTCTGACGTTGTCCTTAGCGACGCCAAGCGACGCTCAAGATTTCATGCGCAGGCGGACTTTTGTGGACTGCCCTTTTTGAAGAGACCCCATCTTTTTCTTGGGGAACCCCCTTTTGGTCAACTATAGGTTTGCCACCGTGAGGCTCGGTCCGCCGATTTATGTTGCAAGTCTACGGCTTTCAGCCCCTCGGATTCATTTGGGTCCTTTTCTGACCGACTTCAATGCATAACCTACTCTGGATGGACAAATTCCTGCACCACTTTGGTCGAAACCATGGTCAAAACCATAACGTTTGTTGCTAATTGAAACGAATCATTCCAGGGTGTCTCGGTGGCAGGGTTTCGTCCAGCCACAGCATTCCCCCTAAAGCCTCTCTAAGGCAAGCCACCATTGGTCGGACGTTGGCTTTCGGACGGGGACGCCCTGCAAGTGCACACGATTGGTCCTATTTGTTGACACACACGACAAAAAGCCTAGCAATACACAAAACAAGAAACCAACTTTGCACACCCATCACCCATTCCCCCCCCCAGATTGGGCGCTGCCTTCTTGGGTTTCTCACTTGTTTTTTGCGGGCCAAAGCTAACATCAACATGGACAAAGCCAGGGCTCGCTTTGGACCCTCTCCGACCTTGGACGGACTAGGCTTGGGACTTGAGGGGGCAGCTTGGCAAACTATAAATACACGGGAAACCTCAACAAAAAGGGCCTGAGGCTACCCCCAGAGAGGTCGCCATTCAATCGGCGTTTACCCCAGAGCTCTCAAAGTCCCAAGTTGTGCCGCGGAATTTGGAAAATGACCCTAGGCAAACTGGATGAAAGGCCGAGCCAGGTGATGTGAAAAGGGACTGAGCCATGTTGATGGGCTCCTGAAATTACGTTGCGACGAGTTGCAAATGCAGTTCCCCACGAGGGTAATTTGGAGCTTGTCACTTCAAGGGATCCAGCCCTTAAACCAATTACATTCAATGAACACCTACATGCAAAGGAGAAATCCTCTAAACGCCAACCCCCAAAATTGAATAATCTTAAACTTCTACCTCCCTCCCCCACAAAAAAGAAAGAAAGAACACGCACACACCCACAAACAACGGATTTCTTTCGAAACTCAAACGCCCATCCCAAAAAGAGAACTGTACAGTGGTTTCCCTCTTTCCCTCAAAACCTGCCCCGAACAGGGAAACATTGGTTGTTTTGATTTGAATTCCCTTTAGCACCTACCCCAAAAAGAGAAATCCCTTAAAGGCCCACCCAAAAACGAAATTAGTTGTGCCAACACGACAAATAGACGCAACACAACATGAGTTGCCGGTCTTCCTATAACTTGTCTGACAGAACAACGGAAAATCCCTTGAAAGCCTGCCCCCAAACAGGAAATTATCGTTGTAAGCCACTAAGGACCGAAGCATGTCTTCCCTTGCAATTCCATCCTTGAAGCCTACCCCCAAAACCGAACCTACATGGCTTGTTGCTTCTTGAATTCCCCTCAACACCTAGCCTAAAAAGGGAGATTGAAGAAGCCCCCCACCCACATGTTTTCCTGGTCTATTTTTGAACTCTTCTAAAAACCTAGCCTAAAACGGCCTAAAAAGGGAAATCCAAGAAAGCCCCCTAGCCACATCCGAGAGACGAAGATGGCGCGATGCTCCTCCGGCTCCACCACGTGGATCCGACACAGCGCCAGCCCGAACTCCTGGTTGCGCACTTGGCCCCGGGCTGGACCGCGGACCGCGGACGCGGTTGGTCGTCCCGAGCTCGGGTTTTCTTCGTTTGGTGGCTTGAAGGAACAAAGCAAGACATGTTTTGTCCGGATGTCAGGGGTGTGGGAACGGGTTTCCCTTTTCTCTCCCTTCGGTTGGATCAATTTGCAGGTTTCCATGGGCACGAAAGTCACGCTTGATCAATTTACAGGGGGTTTCAATCCATGGATCCGAAAAGGGACATGGAGAATACCCGGTTTTGACTCCTTCAAGTTCAAGAAAACAAACCATCCGGAGAACTTAGGGTTATTTTCCCCCCAGTTCTGGAGGAGCCAGTGAATTCATGTCAGGAATTGTTGGGCGAAACCCGGAAAGCGCCGCGAAAATCCCCCCCCCCGACTATATAATCACATGCTTCAATCAGGCGTTTCCTAACTGGGGTATTGGGGGACACCGCGTGCTTGGAGCCTTTTTTGGGAAGCACGCAAACGTAGGGATGACACATTGAAAAGAACCGTGGGCACGATGGGGCAAGCGGCCTTTTTGCTTATCTTGTTCTTTCTTGATTTACGTTATTTGGTTCGGAAGATTATTTACTACATTATGAATGTTATTTCGCAATGTATGTCTTTATTCATGCCTTTCTTGATTCAATAATATTGTCAACTAATACTTCTTTACATTTCTATCTTGCGTTCTTGCTTTCTTTCTTTCTCTCTCTCGCTCTCTCTATGTTCGCTTTCTTTCTCAGTCGTTTCCACTTATTCATCTCCTTGTGTTTGTTCGTTGTCTTTGTTTTCTTCTCTCGCTCTCTCGCTCTCTCGCTCTCTCGCTCTCTCTCTCTCTCTCTCTCTCTCTCTCTCTCTCTCTCTCTCTCTCTCTCTGTCTCTCGCTTTTCCTCCTCCTTCCGGGGAGGGCAAGTCACGACGCGCCGGCAAAGTTGCATACCAACTACAACCTCTACGACAAGACATCGCATCTCAACACACTATGAGCAAGTCTATTTTTTCTCTTAACCAGGGTGCCCGTTCATGTTTTTCCGCAGCCCTGGAACAAACAAAAACAGACAGCAACCTTTCTGATCACAGACCGTCTTCCACGATCCCTGCCTCCAAGTTGAGGGCCCTCTCCGGGTCGAAGACGGCCTCCATGACCTCCAAGGCCTACGTGGCAATTTGGCGGCCGCGGAAAATTTCTCGGCTCCCCCCGCTTCTTTTTTGGGTCTAAAACGGGAAACCAAGAGACGAGAAGATATACCCTCGAATGGGGAGTTTGTTTAGGGTTGCCTGCGGGGTTTCCCCCCTTTTTTGGTTTTAACGGGAAGCCAACAGACCACAAAATACCGTTTTGGGGGAGTTTGGGGTCACCTCACTGTGGTGGAACATAAAAAATAGATTGGATGGGTATAGAATTCCATCGTTGGACCCCAACCATTTGGCAGGGTCGCGAAAGTGAACACGCCCCAAATGGGTATAAGGAGCCTTTGCAGGACATCGATTACATGGCGACTTGGGGGCCACCCGTGCTTGCGATTAGTCGCATTCCCCGTTGACGGCCATTTGAGAGATTCACCCATTTCATATCTCAACAGCCCCCCATGGTCATGGGTGAATTTGGGGCACCTCGTCTTTTTGGTCGGTGGCCCCAACAAAAAGAAAGCAACCTCCAAACCATCAAGTTGAGGAAGGGACACCTCCAAAGCAACCTCCAAAACAACCCCTTCGTCACTTCCAGCACCATGTGCACGCACCCCCTCTCGCGCCTGCAAGGTCTTGGTGTACCCGAAGGCTACCAAGCGCTTCCGCAGGCCGTCGATGCCGCTGATCTCCGCCACGCCTTCCAGCGCAGCCTTAAGCGAAACGCGGAGTGGACTCAAGGCACGGGTTGCCCCCCCCCCCCCCCAGGCCCTAGGGTTCAATCCCTATTCAAAGAATGGTTGCCCCAATTCGGAAGATGGCAATCCTTAGGTCAATCATCGTGGTTATATGAAGCTCCATTGGTTTGATGGTGGTTTGAACCCCAGGGTAGGGAAACCAGTGGACCCATTTGCCTCTGGATCCATTTACCAGTGGCTCCAAGCTCAACCCAGTGGATCCGGAACCAAGGGCACCAAAAGGACAACGGCTGGGCACCCACCAGCGCTAAGATGCGCTGGGGATGCCGGCAGAAGCTATTTGGCTCCCTGATCTTCCTAAAGCAAATGAACTCTTCTTACCCCTTAAAACTCCAAGCCTTGGGGAAGTAAATATTTTACAGACATATAGCCCATGTTACCCAAAAAGTTGAAAAGCTGTGTTTTTAAGAGGTAAGTCTTGATCCACTCTACAAGTGGTTCTCACAAAACCGTGGCACAAAAGGTTCCAAGCTGTCCTATGGTCTTCGATCATCCTGCAACACCTCAGAAGAACCAGGCACAGGCAGTCTGCGGCGTCCATGCGGCCAGGAAAGCCAAAGGTGGGGGAGGAACAACCAAACCAGAAACCCAACAAAAAAACACTGGGATGTGTGATCAACAAGGGCTTTTACACCATTGGGGAAAACCACTGAAAGAAAACATGTCCCATCAAATGGAGCAAATTTCCCATGGTCATTTGCGGGCCACACTGATCAACCCCCGCATGTTGAAGAACATGCGAAAAATGGCAGCCGAGAAAAAAAAACGCCATGGATGAAGTATTGATCGGCCCCGGAACGGACACTCATCTTTGTAAGCGCAATTGATCATTACAGAGGAATGCTTTGCTCTTGGCTTACAACTCACTTCAGGAGTGGATGGGCCAAAACAAAAACAAACTTAAGGCATTTCCCGCAAAAATGCTCCCCCCGCCCAAAAAAAAATAAAACAAATAAAAATATAAAATGACTAAAGTCCGAAACGGAACTCAGCAAGTGAACCCTTCCCGCCCTTCCGCCCTTCCCGCGCTTCCATTCTCAGGCCGCGCCTGGAACTCTGCCAGAGTGACCTCACCTCAAACCGCGGCGGGCGCGGCGCGTTCGACCGGCGGGGGGTGGGGTCCTGTTCCCAGCGCTTCCACTTGGCTCTGAGGTAGGAAGGCGCGGGAAAGCCATGAAGCAAAACTGGAAGGTTCACAACAAAAAACAGCAACGACTGATATAACTTGAGGCAACATGTTTGGCAGCCTACATTGCTTGTAACTATAAGCTCCATTGATTGGCTTGCTAAAAGTCAGCAAGATCCATCCAAAGCAAGACACCCTATGTGTTGTGAATCGTACAAATCACTCTGTTTGGCCCAACTTTTTCGGGCAGTTACCCCCTTTCAGGAAGTCCCCCTGTTGTCACTCTGGCGTCAACCAGTTGTGCAGATCACTCTGTTCGCCAAATTTTCCGGCAGTTCCCCTTTCACGTCATAAGTCGCCCGGGATCACCCCAGAGGTCCAAAAGCTGACGGCTCGCGCGCCCCAGACGTCGCCAGCTGCGCCAAGTCGCCATCTCGGTTGAGATCCAACAGCTCGAAGCTGATGCGGGCCTGGCCGGGCCGCGAAGCTCGGGCCGCGAAGTTCGGATCTGGGACTTTCTTGGGGTGCGCGGTGCCCGAAGAAGGGCTTGGTATGTTGAAGGGTGCGTACATTCAGCCTTGCCTAACTGAAGAATTTGATCGGTCAGTATGGGGTTTTACATCCATTGCATCCGCAGTGTGGCTGTTCAAGCGTGAAAATGTGCGAGCAGCGCACTTGGACGGTTTGTTGTTTCCTTTTGGGCCCCAAACCGGTAACCCTTGAATCTATAGGTTATCAGCCGTAGGCCCCTAGCTCTAAGCAATGGACGGTTCCCTTGTGCCAGTTGATGGATCCAACATGCCTGTGGATGCTGCCGGAGCTAGCTCCGACAACGCAACCGGCGGCGGTGTGCGAATGTTCGCATCAAGCGCTAATGCGCAGCACAACCGCACCCTGATGAATTCCCTTCAACTGTACAATACCGCAATCTTTGCTTTTGGGAATGATGCAGCCATTAGGTCTGAAGCCGAAGCCGTGCATCAAGCAGCTGTCACGCATTTGCAAGCGGAAAACCGTGAGGAGCTCCGTGTCGCACAGAATCAGCTGCATGCACACTACGCTGAATGTGTGCAAGCCCAGTCGCATAGAATTCGTGAATACGAACAGCGAGTGAGCGATGAGTTCATCCAAGAAGTGAACTTCGCTGAAGCTAGGATAAGCCAAGTGTGTGAGGAAAATGCCCAAGCATTGTGTCAAGAGACGGCAAGGTGACGTCCCGTAGGACGCTATGCACCGAACCCTCCAGCTGTAATACCAACCACGTGGAAAGGTGTATACGGACGATGCCGTTATAGCCGAACCCGTGTAAACGTTGTAAGGGGAAAGGAATGATAGTTACAACAGTGGTCCTGACAAATGCAGCGCAAGCGAAGTGTTTTCCGCTCTCAATGCCGATCACGTATGAATGCAGCTACACATCAGATCTTGAACCTCAATTGTGTCTTGAGCCAAAATGGCAATCAATGGAACTTGGTAAGCAACACTAACACAGACCTCAGAACAGCTTCCCAATATAGGCACGGGGCCTAGAGGGTTTTAACATCCCCCATTTGGGTCGCATTGTTCATCATGCGGTCCAAACACCACAAAAACGTTCCACTGGCCACGGCTTCAGCTACGAAATCGTGTCGTGCATTCTTTTACTTGCTATCGCTACACCGTTCATTCGTTGTGAAACATGCCGGGTTCGATTGTATGAAAAGTGAAACATTCATCCACCAATCGAAGCGCACTCCCATATGCAGGTGTATACAATACACAATCGTCACGTCATTTGACCACCAGTGAACATCCCAGCTGCCGCATTTGCGCATCGCGCAGCCGTCATCCATAGAAAATGGGTTGGCCATAAGAGTCCAACAGAGGCGCCTGCTCGTAAGCAATCTGCATATCTCCGGCAAAGAAATATCGGTGAGCAATCAATGCAAATCATAGCCATTCCAGATACCATGGTCAATGTATAAATAATGAAAAGAAATCATCCATTAGGTAATAGTCCCATCCATGAATATCCAGAATGTCATAGTCGTCGGAATATGTAACCATGTACACATCCATTCAACTTGGATACATGAAATCATATCATGATGTAAAGTCGTTCCATCGCAATGGTGTTGATGAGACGCAAGCAACAGATGGGGACTAACCCACATCGTGCCGCAATCAGCATCTTCACTACGCATACCGGTCCCCAATGGACAGTCTGTGAGTGCGTCGACGGAACTCCTCGTCCAAGTTCTTCTGGGCTTCTCGTGCCCGGACACACTTCTTGCTGTAATCCTCTGGTAGCCAGTGCCCTTTCCGAAGGCACCAATCCAGCAGAGGTGTGTCACACTTGTTCGGGTCGACGGCCGAGATGATGGCGCTCACGTTGACCGCGTAACCATATTTGCCAAGGTTCAGGCCATCCCTCACGAATGATATATACTTACAGTTGAAAGCTAGTGCAAAGCATCTGAAAATAATATCACCCACCGGGTGCACTCGGTCCTTGACCAGGAGCTTCATTTCTTCCTTGGTGACATCGAGGATTCTCGCTGCAATCCACAGCTTGTAGAATGTGTATAGTCCCTCGCATTTGCACACCATCATACGAATATATTCGTCACGCTCCTCAACCGATCGGAAGGCTCTTGTCCGAACATTCTCCGATTGAGAAATCTTCGTTATTGTTGATGGCAAAAGTATACCTTCCTGATCGTGCTCAGTCATGTTGGGGTATCTCTTGAAGTCATTGTGGTAAGGGCAGCCCGGTCTCCCCTCGAGTTGGGCATTCATCGTTCTCTCCTCACCACCCTCGAACATCCCCCACATCTTGGACATCTGGAGTGCGATAAACCCTGCCATGTACTGAGCCTCACGCGGCTCGTCAAGGCAGATCGCCATCCGCTGGGAATTTATGATATCCCGTGACGTCAGATCAGTGTCGCGGTAATACCAACCGCTGTCATCCTCTTCTGACGCATATCCGGATGTATATCCTTGCGTGTCCATGTCGTCTTCTTCTCCCGGAACTTCCTCCGCTTCGTCATCATCCTCCTGTGCCGCCGCATCGTGGTTAGCTTCTTCCTGTGCGCGCTTGGCATCTCCCGAGACGTTGGGGTTTTGATTGTCCTCCTCATCGTCGGAGT